CCTGTGCCGGGCTCCGGGCTTGCATCGCTCCCTGGGTGCCCCTAGCTTGGGGTTTCGGCATAGAGGACAGGGGAGGCTCCCTGGGTGCCCCTAGCTTGGGGTTTCGGCATAGAGGACAGGGGAGAAAGGACGACGAGGGGTGGCAGGAGGCAAACCTGAGGGTGGATCTGCCGGTTTTGGGGACTTTGGAGCTGGGCAGGGTGCTGGCGAAGGCACTTTGTACCCCTGGAGGAAAAGGCCTGCTGGTCCCTGAGGCTGCTCTCAGGGCTGAGGGGATGCTTCCTGGCTTTGGAGGATTAGGGGTGAAAAATGTCTGTCTTGCCAAAACGCCCCGTTTTGGAAGTTTTCTAAATGCAAAGCTTGGTTCCGGGACTGGAACTGGTTCACTGCGGCCGAGCCTGTGCTGGAGCCCAGGGCCAAATCCCAAAGGGATGTGGCTCCTACTTGGGAACAGCCAGTCTCGGGTGACCACAAATCACCTGGCTGCAGGGAGTGCTGAGATGGGGACTGCTTGTCCTGATTTGAGACAGGAGGAAAACCAAGAAGAGATACAAAAGCATTGCAGGGTTGGTGGGGGAAGAGAGTGTTTCTCCCCCGTGTCGCAGGGGAGCTTGCTTGGGGGGGTTCGTGGTGACCTCGAGCTGGGTGCGGAGACACAGCTCCAGGGGTGGCCGGGTGCCAGGCGGTGGCAAGGAGCAGGGTGGGGCCATCCCAGCATCGCTGCCTTCGCAAGCAAATGTTTTTTTCCCTAATCGCAGACGAAACTTAAACAAACCATAAAGCCCAGGGGCTGGGGCCGGGTGGCTGCGCCCTGTGACAGGCGTGGGCACGCGGAGGTGCTGGAGGACAGGGTAAGCGCTTCGTCCCTGCTCTGTCCCCCTACCTGCTCCTCCAGGCCCTCACGGGGCATCTCCTGCTTTGTCCCCCTCTCTGCTGCTCCCAGCCCCGTGCTCCCGGGGCTCTGCATCCCTCTCCAGTGCTTTTGGGTGGCTCTTTGCTTCCGGGCAGGAGTGACAGGTGGCTGATTTTTTTTCTCTGCATTTCCTGCTTGGAAGTAGGGCGGGCCGGGGTGGCCCTGCACCCTCCTGCTGCCGCCGGCCCTTCTCTCTGCTGCAGGCCTCGCGGGGGTCCCGGGTGAGCCAGCTCCCTCTTTCCTAGCAACTGTCCACCTGGCATGTAAATGCCCTGCTCAGGCTCCTTGCTCCCAGGTTGCCTTCCCTGCTCCTCCCCATATTCCCAGGGTTGGGGTCCCAGTCCTGGCAGCAACCCTCCGTAAGCTGCCCCCCTTGCAGTGGGGGGCCAGGACGCCTGGGTGCTCCTCCTGCCCCTCTGCCTGGTGAGCCCTTTGGGGCAGACAGGGTTTGGGGGGTCATGTCCTCGCTTGGTGCTTGGATGTCCCTTTTGGGTCCCATAGCTCAAGAGCTGCCCCGGGTTCAGGAAGGGCCCAGAGTGGGGAAGGAGCAGGGTCCCTGGGGCTGCTGGCCCGGGCCTCCTTGCAGCTGTGGGGCAGGTCCCAGCTGGGGGCCCAGGGTGGGCCTGGTGGCAGCACCCACCTTGCAGAGACCTGCCCCTTCCTCCTTCCAGGCATGCCAGCCCCAACGAAATGTGCAGGGCAAACCCCACACGCCCTGGGTCCGAGTCTGGGTTTTTGCCCGATTTGCAAACCCACTGCATTTGCATGGGACAAAACAAGCTTGGGCGGGAGTGAGCTCGGGGCCGCCGACAGCAGCGTGTCCCGGGGCCAGCGCCCGCAGCACAGCGCCTCAGCAATCCCCCCGCGCAGGTCGCACGTGCCCTGCTCGCCAGCGCTCGCACTTCCTCCTCGCCTCCGGAGCGGATGCGTCACTCCAGGCTGGGACGGGGCGGCCCCGCTCTGCCCTGAGGCCGCTGTGGGGCCGCACAGGGGGTGCCCGGACCCTG